TGTGGTAAAAGATTTTATTTGCATGTAGTTATATTCCTCGGATTCTAAAGTCCCAGTTCCCTTAATCCAGTCTTGGAAAATGTGCAGCTGTGGGTTTATCAAAGCTATAAGCAGGGCTAGTATTCAGAGTTTCCGCTGCATGGTGAAGTTGAGTCCAGTGTGTTGCCAAGCATCAGACTAGATTCAGTCCGTCAATCCATCATGTGGAGTCCACATGGCTGTGGACCATGTAGGCAAAAGCAGGAGAAAGCTCCCCCTGCAACAAGAATCCCAAGAGAGCAAGTGAACCAAGAGAAAGAGAGAGCACTTTCTTTATTCAGGAGGTTATGTATCTTAGAGTTCATGCCTTTGCAGTGGCCATACCTATTCTCGCCACTGACTTATTCACAGGTGTGACTGACAGGTAATGCATCTTCCCATGTCATCCTGACTCTTCCCCTATCAATCTGTGGGGAGTAGACCTGGACAGTGTTAACTGCAGCTTCCTGGCAAAGCTGTATAAATGGCATTCTTATGTTATTTAGTCTTCCCTTTACTCCTTTCATGTTAAATAATAATCAGATTATTATAACAGCATCAGAACCTAGTAAATGAATAAATTGTTGGAAGAGACTAGATAATGTAAGATCTTGTAATACCTAATAAAGATTTTAGATTTTATTATATGTGAAAAGGGAAATTATTGGAGAGCATTAGTCAGAGACACAATGTGCTTTTATTTATTAGTAGAAGGGGAGAGCTTTATATAATGCAAAAATTTAACACTGGGAGAGAAAGCTTGGATGTTGATTCAATAAGGAGCCTTGGGTAGTAAGTCCTTTCACACATGAGAACCAGTTTCCTCAGCTATACAGATGAGGATGATAATATTTGCCTACCTTCCAGAGTTGTCAAGAATTTTATAACTGGGCCCTGGCCAGTTTTGCTCAGTGGTTAGAGTGTCAGCCCACGGACCAGAGTCTTGGGTTCAGTTCCCGCTAAGGTCATGTACCTCAGTTGTGGTTTGTCTCCGGCCCTTGTTGGGGTTGTGTGGGTGACAGCCACTCGATGTATCTCTCTCACATTGATGTTTCTCTCTCTCTCTCTCCCCCCTCCCCTCTCTCCCTCCTGCTCTATCTGAAAATAAATGGGGAAAAAAAAAAAGAATTTTATAACTGGAAAAAATTCTAGTAAATATCTAAGCTAAATAAATCCTCATAAAGGGACTGAGGCTCAGACAGGTTAAGCAATTTGTTCATCTTCAGATACCAGGGACAGAGCTGGTGGTAAACACCAATATATTGTTTTTGTTTTGTTTTCCTAAATACCATACTGCATATCCAGCATGTCAAATGAAATAAGCAATAGAACGAAAAATGACTTTGTAAACCTTAAAGTGCTGTACATAATAATATAAAACATAATTATTTTCAGGATACTTTGCCTTGAGAAAACAAAGCTGATTATTTGGGAAGGAAGTGTTAGTAAAAAAGTTGTGCTGATTTTCCTAATGCTTCATCTAGAAGCCACCATGACCATGAATCTTCAGTGGAAACAAGAACTGAAATCCAGTGAAGAGAAAATAGAGGGTATTGTGAAAATGGGAAATAGCACAAAAGATTTTTTCTATCTCCGTTATAGACTGCATATTTGTGACCCTCCAAAATCATATATGGAATCCCTAATCCCCAGTGTGTTAGCATTTGGAGATGGGTCTTTGGGAGGTAATTCCATCATCAGGTGGAGCACCCATGATGGATTTAGTGCTCTTATACAAGAGAAATTAGAGAGCTTTTCGTTCTCTTTGCTCTCAACCATGTGAGGATACAATGAGAAGACAGCCATTTGCAAACCAGAAAGCAGGTTCTCACCAGACATCAGATCTACCACCTCCTTGATCTTGGACTTTCCAGTCTCCAGAACTGTGAGAAATAAATGTCCGTTGTTTCAGCCGTCCAGTTTATCGTAATTGGTTGTAGCGGCCCAAAGAAAGACATCCTCTATTGGTCTTTACTGGGAGTGCAAAGAAGCATAAAGCTTTTTTGACATTAGAAGAGAAACTCTTTAATCATTTAATTATGGCAGCAAATGTTTCCAAATAGGTCAAGGAAGCCTTAGTCTAGAGACATAGTTAGGGGCAGAGTCCTGGCATTCTTACTTTCTAGCAACCGTTTTCCTGGAGTGGAATCAAAATGATAGTGGTATTGTAGTAATCATAGAGAGTTGAAATCACACTGCTTTCTTAGTAGCTTCTGGATAAAAAAATAGCATTGTCATCCAAAGGCATTCAACTAATTATGTAAGTTGTCAGAAAATATTGACATGTTTAAATGAACATAAATGTATATATTTGACGTAAAGTAAGGAAGTTTAAAAATACTTTTTTCTGAAATATGAAGAAGAAAGTAATTTTCTGTGATTACAAAAACCAAACAACAGAAAACCTCTAGAGGAGGTTTTTCAGAGAAGGAAATCCAGGAATACGCTGCCATCTGGGCTCTCCCTCTTCCAGCCCAGGTTTTAGTATATCAACCTTGGGTATGATGAGAAACAAGGTGTATTAGCTGTAATAAGAATTTTTATTCATACATTAGCCTGTTCTGTGGCAACATCAAGACCCCAATAAAGTAACTAATACTAGAATTCAATGCTATAATAAAAGCTTAGGTTGTCATAATGGCTTGTTTTAGCAAAGAGAATGTATGGTCTCTTAGCTTGCTGAATGTGTGTGATTCTTGGCCATCTTCACAGTCTCACAGTTTTTTCAGGTCCAGTGAAAGTGACGTTTAAGTAGAGAGATGAGATACAGAGAGATGGACTATATCAGTAGAGGACATGCTGAGGCCTTGGGTTCTAGTCTAAGTCCTACCACGAAATTACTGTGAAATAACATCTTTCACTGCCCTTTCTTGAGCCACTATTCCTCCAAAGGAGATAAATTTAAGAAGTGGGGAGAAGAATAAAGTGAAGTTCTTTGAATTTGAAATATGATGTTCTGTGCAATGGCCATGGCTAGATGAAATGGCAGATTATCTTAAAACATGGGTACAGGAAGGAAGCTTGAGGCAAATGATCAGTCAGGAAATGATCATGGCAACAAGTTATGGTCTTTTTCTTTAACATCTATCATATAAATTCTAATTCAGTGGTTATCTAATTTTGGTTATCAAACCAATTAAGTAACCAAACAAACACACTAAAAAACAAGCTTGCTGGGAACAAAATAGGAGGAACAGAGGAACAATTTAATGCTTTCTTATTAGTTTTAATTTTCTTTCACAAGGGATTTGCAGTGGTTTGGGGAATTAGAATAAGAAGCAAAGAGAAAGTGCCAGACAATTATCTCATTAATTTTACATACAGTATTTGCTGGACAGACAAAAACATCAGTTATTGATGCCATAAATTCTACTGCACACATTTATACTTGCCTGTGGCATGTAACCAGGAGACTTTCGTATCTGTTAAGACACATATGAATGCCTTTGAATATTAATTCATACTCTAAAACATATAAACACTGAACTTTTTTTTTTTTTTTATCCTCACCCGAGGATATTTTTCCATTTTTTGTACAGATAGAGTGGGAGGGAGAGAGAGGAAGGGAGAGAGAGAGAGAAACATCGACGTGAAGGAACACATCGAGTGGCTGCCACCCGCACGACCAACCAGGGCCAGGGACAAAGTGCAACCGAAGTACGTGCCCTTAGCGGGAACCGAACCCGGGTCTCTCCGGACCGCAGGCCGATACTCCAACCGCTGAGCCAAACCGGCCAGGGCTGAACTTCTAATTTTATATCTAATAGCTTTTCATTAATTTTTTTGGTCTTCGGACTTAATAGTTTTAGCCTCTTGCTCATCAACAAACACTTGTGACATGAACAGCACAGTGAAAATGAAACATCCCAACAAAATTCTGCAACAAAATCCAAGGTGATCATTTGTTGCAAAATATATTCATTACACTAAGGCCAAATCCTACAACAAAATTATTCTTCTGGGATTTATCCTTGTTAAAATTTCATTTATAGAAGCAGTTCAATTCCCTTATGATTTAAAGTCTGTCATTTCAATGTTAGACTCTAAAGAACAAAGAATCTTTTCTCTGTTCTAGTGAGCAGTCTGGGCTGTATAAAGGGTATAGCTAATTTAGCTTTACCTTAAGCTTATTTCTCCTAAAATCTGTTTTTTTTTCCCCCTTGTCATATGCAAGTTTGATGAGGACTTAGAAAATGAAAATCTAGTGGAAAAAGGAAAAAAAAAATATTGCTATAGGCTTAATAATAATTTATGTACTAAATAATAATGCAAAAGGTAATTGCTTCCATAGCAGTATTTAGCTTTTTTTTCTTTCAAAGTTATCTAAATACCTATCCGCTGCTCTATCCAGTCAAGGAGGAAGCTGCAACAGAAGGTAGAGATGTAATATTTTTCTGTTATATTATAAGATGCTATTATAGGCATACAGGTCAATTCTAGGAGGCACTCCACTCTGCAAACAACAAATCTCTAGAATTAGAGTTTAGAAGAGAGAATAGTCATTTAGAGTACGTGGTTGTTTCAGTCAGCTTGGACTGTTATAACAAAGTACCACAGACTGGGTTGCTTAACCCACAGACATTTATGTTGCACAGTTCTAGGGGCTGAAAGTCCAAGATCAAGGGCTGGAGGATTCAGTTCCTGGTGAGACACTTTTTCCTGGTTTGTAGACAGCCACTTTCTCATTTTGTCCTCACATGGTGGATGGAGATTGAGCTCTGACCTCTTCTTATAGATACTAATTCCATCTTTATCAAGGGCTCCACCCTGATGACATTATCTAAACCTAATTATCTCCCAAAGGTGCCACCTCCAAATACTGTCAACTTGGGGGTTGGAGCTTGAACACCTGAAATGTTGGGAAGGACACAAACATTCAGTCCATGTTTATGTTGAGAGGGTAAAAGGAATAAATATTTGACATGACACTGGGCCTCTTCTTTGCATCTTTCTTACCTTTTTCATCATCTTCAATCTCTTAGAACATGCTCAAAAGTTTCTTCAATAAGGAGTTTTATTGGGTTGGTCTGAGGAACAATTCTGGTTGGAGGTGGGAAGATGGATCGACTCTAAACTAAAGGTAAGAAACTTCAAACGAGAGAGGAGGGGAGAGAAAGAGAGAGAGAGAGAGAGAGAGAGAGAGAGGGAGAGAATGTGATACATGAACTTGATAAAAAAGAGTAGATGGAGAAGAGAGACAAGGGTGAGGGGAGGAAATAGGGAATGGAAGGAAATGAACAGTGGGTAAGAAAAAAAAAAAAAAAGAGAGAGAGATTTAAAAAAAAAGCTAATGAGCAGTTTTTGTTCTGTTGCGTTTTGGTTGCTAAGAGAAATGGGGCCTGAATAGGGAGAAAGAATTTGCTTATTTTTTATGATTTCTTACAGAATTCTTTCAAACAGTGTGGTACAAAAGTGTGGCCATCAACATATATGGTCTCCGGGCCTCTAGCTGTGAACTTCTCTTCCTATGGGTCTGTAAGAAGGTCAGACTTTGGTGGATTGTTAGATCTGTCATATGGCTTCCTACAGAGAGGGAGCCGCCTCAGGGATACTCATGAATGGCCAGGAGTATGTACTCAGTGAATGCAGAACCTTCTGGGATATGGCACTAGATGTAAGATTAATGCAGTTTCCTGGGGATTAATGATGTGTTACTACACTCTCTTTGAGGGTATTTAGATAGTATCTTAACAAATAGGTAAAGTTACATAACCAGTAGACATGGACAACAAAGCCAGGGACGGGGCGGGGGTGGGGTGGGAAGGGGGGTGCCAATGGGTTAAAAAAGGAGAAACATCTGTAACAAAAAAATAAATAAAAAAATTAAAAACAAAAACCAAAAAACAAAAAAACCCAAATAGGTAAAGTTTGTTTTTACTATTTCTCACTCTGGTGACTAATCTCCTTCATCTCCACCCCCGCCATTTCTGTCAAAAACTCACCTTTTCTATGTATATTCTACGCTGATCTGATGAAATCTGTGCAAATATATACTATTGCTAACGTGCTAGAGTGTATTTATGTGTGCTAATGGGTTGATATGTTACTTCTCCCTGATAATGTATTTTTATCCTAACAGTGACCCTTTGCAGATAAAGCTTTATTCTAAAGAATAATGCTAATAGTGAGAAAGTAAGTTGTGGAGAGTAGGTGAGAGCAGGGTGGGGCTTCTTACACTTACTTAAAGACCCCGCCTTGACTGAACTTAGTTTTGCTGAGTATGCATAAACCAATGTGTGACTATATCTTTTCCATGTTTAAATGTGTGATTCGGCATGTTAATTTACCATAGTGGTCAATCTGATAAACCAGTTTTATAGAAAAATATTTACAGAAGCAGCTTATGTGATTGTTATTTTAGGCACAAACGCCTCAAAATTGAGAAAAAAACATTATCATTTCTTCTTAGTAGGCTTTAGACATAAATATGGAGAGAAGTTGCTGTTTAAAAATATAGGCGGTCCCTGGCCTGTTTGGCTCAGTGGTTAGAGCATTGGCCTGTGGACTGAAGAGTCATGGGTTCAATTCCCTGTCAAGAGTACATACCTCAGTTGCAGGTTTGATCCCCAGCCCAGTCAGATGTGTCTCGCTCACCTTGATCCCCCCACCCCTTGTCTATCTAAACATCGATGGAGCCTGGCCAGTGTGGCTCAGTGGTTGAGCATCGACCCATGCACCAGGAGGTCTCCAGTTCGTTCCTGGTCAGGGCACATGCCCAGGTTGTGGACCCAATCCCCAGTGGGGGGCATGTAGGAGATGGCCAGCCGATGTTCTCTCTCATCAATGTTTCTATCTCTCTCTCCCTCTCCCTCTAAAATCAATAAAGAAAAAATATTAAAAAACAAATCGATGGAAAAATATCCTCTGGTGAGGATAAATAAATAAATAATACAGGAGGGAGTAAGGAAGGGATCACGATTCTGAACTGCTGATGATACTGTATTGTAATCTTTCTTTTTATAGTTTTTTTTAGGACATTGGACTCTATCTTATTCACCACTGTATCCCAAACACCTACAATAGTGCTTGTATCAGTGAATATGAAATAAACAAAGGAATTAATAAAACAAAGAAAAACTTAAAAATTCTATTCTAGTTGTTTTGTTTAGCTCATGAATTGATTAGAGGGATTAAGGGCAAGAAACACAGTATATCCTAATCCTCCCTGGCCTTACCCATATGAATTTCCAATAGCTAACTCCACAAAGGCAAAGGGTCAGTTTAATCTAAATATAATGTTCATAGGAAGAAGTAGTAGAAACCAACTTCATCTCCTTATGAACTCTTACCTTTGGTTCTGGGCCCAAGAGGTATCTCTTGGTTATGGATGTGATGGTAGTGATTCCACTTGGGCTGTGACTTGGAAGTTACTAGGTGCACAATCAAGTTTACTTATTGAAAGAGAAATTAAGGTGCACAGTAGCCTCCTAAACTCTCCCCTGCACAGACAGGCTATGTGCAGCTCTCCTCTGTGACTAGGCTCAGGCCTCTTGTAAGGATTTCACCACCTGTCATCAGAATTACCTCAAGTTCTTTGCTGCTTTGTCTTTCTTAAGGATGTTACATTAGATGTAGCTTATTTTTCAGTCATTTATTTATTCTTTATATTTATTTATTAGGAGCTAGGATCAGTGATTGACTTGATTCTTTTACCTTTGTCTTGTGAAAGAAAGTTTGGTAAAACTGAAAACTAATTTTTTTCTATCAGCCCTTGCACTCCTCAGTTGATCCCTTTGGTGAACATTATGCTTTAAACATATTCAGGACATGCAGATTTTGGAAGAAGGCATGCATTAAAGATAATACAAGAGCAGTAACAAAATGAGAATGAAGAAAATCCAGAGAGGGAAAAACCTCCTTAGAGGTCACAGATGCATAGTGTCTGAGGGCTCAGTATGAAAAATGAAAGTAAGATGGTGTAATCCTTGTAATGTATAAAAACTTGGACTCTTATCCATTTTGTTTTTGTTTATTTTGTTGTACTCCAATAAATAATATCTTGGACCTCAGATACAGAGATTGGAGTGAATCAATCTCCTCAGTTCATGGGGTCACCATCTTTATGAATCCATGTATGTCTCTCCCATGTTTATTTATGTTTTCTTTTCTTCCTGTATTCCCACTTCCACTGACCATTCCTCCACAGGATGCACTTTGATGTTCGGTATATTCCTTGAGTTTGTTCGTATCCTGTAGTTTTCTGCTTTATTTGTTTCATATTCAATTAAATGATTTTTAAATATATCTCACTGTTTTACTTTTTTTCCACTAGCATTAGGTTTTTGAGATCTATCCATCTTACACTTCATACATGTACTCATTCTTTTAGTCTCCATTTTATGTATCTGTTCTCTTCATGATGGACACCTTGTTTGCTTTTTACCTCATAATCACAAGCAACGATGGGATGAATATTTGCTTGCATATCCCTGCTCACTCCCAAGTCTTCCCCATCTCAGGAAATTACCATCCACTCAGTTGTTCTAAGATTTCAAACTGAAGAATGTTCTGATACCATTTTTATTCATGGTATCAACAGTTTTTCTCATCTCCACTACCAACATGTATTCTAAATCTCACCACTTCTCTTCACCCTCACTTTTTAACTCTAGTCCAAACCACTTTTGTTCACCTAGTTGTTGTGACAACTTCTTTTGTTACTTCCTTTTTTAACTTTTATTGAGGTGCAATTGATGTGCAGTGGACTGAATGTACTTCAAGAATAAACTTTGCTAAGTTTTGAAATGTGTATATATGTCACCTGTGAATCTACCACCACAGTCAGGATAGTGAATATATCAATGAAAAGGTTTCTCATGCCTTTTGGTAATTCCTCCCTCTTTCTCTTCCCTATCACTCAACACTCCTCCACCTCCAGGCAACCCCTGATCTACTTTCTGTCACTAAAGAACGTATTGCATCTTCTAGAATTTTATAACACATAGAGGTTTACAGTCATTATGAGCATCATTATGTTGAGATTCATCAATGCTGTTGTGTGTTTCAATAGCTTACTCCTTTTTATTGCTAGTATTCCATTATATGGCTGTGTCACAGTTTGTTTATCCATTCACTTGTTGATGGACATTTATGTTTCCAGTTTTGGACTACCAAAAATAAAGCTCTTCTAAACATTTGGGAACAAATCTTTGTATGAGAATAGGCTTTCTTTTTTTCTTGAGTAAATACTTAGGAGGTAGAATGGCTGGATTGTATGGTAAATATATGTGTAACTTCTTAAGAAACTGCCAAGGTCTTTTCCTAGGTGGTTGTGCTATTTTATATCCCAACCAGAAGTGTGGGAGAGTTCCATTTCCTTCACATCCTCAACAACACCTGGTATAGTGAGTCTTGTTAATTTTAGCCATTCTAGTAGTATAGAGTGCTATCTCATTGTGATTCTAATTACCATTCCCTTAAAGATTAATGATGTTGAGCATCTTTTCGTGTGCTTATATGCAACCCTTATATATTTTTTTTGATGAAAGATCTGTTCAAATATTTTGCTCATTTAATTGTTTGCTTATATTTGCGCTTTCAGAGTTCTTTATATATTCTGGATATAAGTTCTTATCAGATATACACATTGGCAATATGTTTTCCCAGTCTTTGACTTATCTTTTTATTCTCTTAATAGTGTGTTTCAAAAAACAGAAGTTGTTAAATTTGTGAAGTCTAGTTTATTAATCTTTGTACTGTAGTTTGTAACTTTTTGTATATTATCTAATAAATCTTTGCCTAGACATTTGTAGTTTTAGGTCTGTGATCTACTTGATCTAACTTTTATATATGGCGTGAGATATGGCTTAAGGTCATTATGTTCTTACAGATATCTAATTGTTCCAGTATCATTTATGAACATAAATGTTCCTTCATTGAATTTCCTTGAAAGCTTTGTTGAAAATTAGTAATCATATACATGTAGGTCTATTTATGCATTTTTTTTCTGTTCTATTTATTTATCCTTTTACTTTTACCCCACTGTGAATTTATAGTCAGTCTTGAAATGAGGTAGTATAGTCCTCCAAGTTTGTTTTTATTTTTCAAAATTGTTTTAGCTGTTCTAGGTCCTGTAATTTTTTAATATAGATTTTTAGATAAATATATTATATATATATGTTATTTTGTACATGTATGAATACGTCGGGGGGATTTTCTGGGTCAGTGGGTACTTTCAAATAGGCCCACAAATTTAACACTACAGCAATACATGAATTAAAATGCCTATATCTCTAAATGCTCATCAACCAGAGGTGTAGTGAACCAAAGGCTCCTCATGATCATGATGAGTTTCCACTCGGGGCTCTATGCTCAAAGGATAATGATGAGTTTTCACTTAGGAGAAGGTCTTTCAGGTTCTTCACATTGGATCAGCTAGAAGACAGACCTTTCCCTTTTGGTTAGCAATAATCTTCTCTACCGCAAAACTCTGATGGTAATCAAGTCTGTATTTTCACAGTAGTACTGAGATTGTGAAGGAAATAAAAGGTGGGTAGAGAAAATTGTTCTGGTACATGGGAAAGGGTAAGAAAATGATGTGCCAAGAGCTAAGGAAGGAGTGATTTTCAAGGTGGAGGGAGCATTCACCGGCATAAAATGCTAAAGAGACATAAAGTAATATAATGAGAGAAGAGTGTGTAGTGAAATGGACAATAGGGAGGTCATTGTTCATCACCTTTCATTGGCGTGCTGGTGACAGATGTGACATAAATAGGAGGGAAGGAAGTGGAAACAATGAGTTTAGAAGTGCCTTTTAAAAATTTTGTTATGGCAGGAAGGAAAGAGATAGTATCTAAATAAAGGGTTATATGTAGAGCCCATGTATTTTTACATATATATGAGAATAACTCATGTTTGTAACTTGAGGTAAAAAATTAAGTTGAAAGGGAGAGATTTTAAAAAATGCATTCAAGACCAAGATCTTTGAGGCACTGGATGAATATGAGACCCAAAGAACAAATGGACTAAATAATCTGAGGTGGAAAGTATGCCCTTTTCCCCATGGACAAGGGGAAGATGGGGAAGGATTCTGATACGTTTGAAAGTGATAGGGAAGGAAATGTACACTGTTCTTGTCTGGTGAACTCCATTTTCTCAGGTCACATGCTA